TATGGCTTTGATTTTTGTCAGGGAAAGAAATGCGATCAGTAGCATTTTGATTACATTAAACGACTTACTGATTATAAAAAGCAATGAATTTTCAATGAGGTTGAATATTAAGAGGATGCTTATACATTTCGGTAACAATATCTGAAAAATAATATTAAACGTGATCATATTAAGCGAGGGCTGCTGTATTATAGAAATGGAAGAATAGGCTAAAAAGTAAGAAATATTTTACAATGATTTCATTCTTCGCGTAAAATACCAATTGACTTTTCTTCTGCTATAAAAGATAACATATCTTTAGTTCTTAGAAACTCAGATTGTTAGCAATATTCTACATGCTTAATTTAGCACATTTTTAATACGTTAAGGCAATTAAGCAAAATATGTAAATTAATAAACTGGCGCCTTTTTAAGAAAAACTGTTTATATTTGTGCAGTTTTACTATAAAAATAAAAACTAATTTTTATAAGATGCATTCAACCGGAAACGTTTGTGAAGATTTGTATATTAACTTTTGACTAATAGTTTTTAATTTAGAATTAAGCAAATTTCCTTTCCCTCTGCTTTTCTTCCACGCTTTTCATGCCAGAATGTAAATGAGATAGCGAGCGTTTATTCAGATTGAGGGAGAAGGAGTGCTATTTAGGTGAAGGTTTCGCAAACTGATTTTAGAGCGTGTTTTGCCTATTTGAGGTCACGTTGTTACCATAACGATTTGATTCTGTGACGTTGACTGCTTCTAGTCATTAGGCTTGTCTCGCCGGTTTTCTACAAACCAGAGCCTTCTTGCGCATTACTTTGCCCTGTGACCGTTAGGCTATAACTATATTTAATTTTAATTCGGCATCACTTGTTTAAGCTAAGCCAGAATTGTTGGCTTGTGTAATCCCAAGTGGCCTTAGTAGCCATATTTAATATGATACGATATTGCAAATTTGACTTGATATTGCCAATTTATGACTTGATAATGCCAATTTAATGACTTGATATTGCCAATTTATGACTTGATATTGCCAATTTAATGACTTGATATTGCAATTTAATGACTTGAAAATATTGTATCGGTTTGGAGAGTTCGAACTCACAGAAGACAGTTGCCTAAAAATTACTGTGTTATTTGCCTTCAAAAACAGAACTACGAATGCGAGAAAACGACTAATCCAGGAAACTACTGTACTTTGTACATAAAATAGCATATTGGGAACTAATAGCATATGACATTCAACATGAATACACTGCATTAAAATCTACTTTTTAGTAGAAAAACCATACTCCTTTTTACTTCCTGATGAAATTTTACCTCAAATGAAAATAACCTTTACTTTAGTTACTAACTATATTAATACTACATTATTTTCTAACTGTCTTAGCAATTAATTTATAATTTCATTAAAATTATCGTATTAATTAACTCGGTTCTATATTCCTCTAATTGGAAAATACTGAAATAGAAGTGAAATATATCACTTTAATAATACTTAATAGTTTCCAAGCGCTTTGAATAGAATATGTTCATTATGCAAATCGTTATTCGCCGTCAACAATGCTCATCTTCTGTTAAACAATCACCTACAGAGACAAAAAAACTGGGAGAGAGTTTACTGTACTTTTCCCCATCATCTGAAGTTTTCTTGAATTGAAAAATGAAAATAAAGTTGCTTCACTTGCATGACTATAAACATGGATTTAACTTATAGAAGAAATGGAACCCTATTATTTGGATTTTTTAAATACCTAAATATCCGGATAAAATATTTTAGTTAGTGTAGATACTAAAAGTTCCATTATACTTGGACTTTCTTTCTAGTAACTGCTGAAAGCCGCATTCTGCTTATTCCGACACTTTATATGATGATAAATTAGTTGCTGCTTGAGCACCTTTCGCGAAGATAACTGTCTTGAAATATTAAAAGGTTCTTTCATTCAAGGACCTTGCTTGCATTACATGCGCATTAAAAATGTATGTAACAGCAGGTGAACAAAGGGTAAGAACCTGAAATTTTCTTCTATGAGCCTACATATTTCGAGCTAACTAGATACATTTCGAGCTAACTAGATTTATCTTCAGTCTTCGTTTGACCCATACTAGCTTCAAGCTTTCAAAGTTCTTGTTCTTACAAATCGATCATGGCATATTTTTTTCCGAAAGGATTATTTGAGGTCATCGAAATGTTATATTTATTCGCATAATGCATGCACTTTTTTGCCATAACTATGAATCCTAAAGGAAGAATATATTTTAAGGAAAAAAAGGATTTTGACATACTGTTTATGAAAAATCTTTTTTTTAGCAGATCGTTTGCGAACATTGTGATAATTATATTATCGTGGTCCAGTGATCATTCCTCCTAGCTCAACCCACCTGCGCCAGCTCTTGATAACAGTTACATATGGTGGGAAAGGAATGCTTTCAGACGGACAAGTAGCAATTTAATCAGCACTTACTGAATCCCATTCTCATCCTGGATATTTTCTGCATTCAAAGCAGCTTTCAGTGGACCCAGGACGTAGTAATTCGAAGAGTAACTTCGAGGAAATACGGATAACATGGGATGCACTTAAAATGCAGATCTTTTGTACAGGCACAAGAAGAAACTAGGCCAACACCTCTATAGTACCAGCGATCATTGATGTAGTATTGTACCTAAACTAAATGTTATGCTTCGGCCACAATTCTGGGGAAAGGTACGAAGCCTAGGGAGCAGAACAGAAGTTAAACAGAAGTTAAACTTCCTACATATGGGTTCACTCATTTTTGATACTTCTACTAAATTTATATTAGGAGATAATATAATCATTATATCTTTAGTAAATAAATTACTATTATCTTACTTTGCAGCTATTGCGCAAGTATTAGAAAAACTTGTTTTCGAACTAAATTTAAGATCATGCAACATATATATATTATGTATATATATAACAGAATATATAATATTATGCATATATTTCCTTTCCCTTATTTTCTATGCGCGTTAACACACCAAATAAAACAAGTTATATGTTTTCTTCTGTATGTTTCTTGATATTTGTTTTGGTTATGATGACATCTGTTTATTGTTGAGGTGAGTTGGATGGTTGAACCTTTATTCAGGCTACGCTGTTTATTGTTGACTTCAAGAGACGCCTAACTAGTCTGGAAACTTCGTCTTCGTTTGCTCATGATAACATCTTAGTAACTGAACCAATAATAGAAATGAGCTTAGTAATGAGCTCATTAGGTATAACCATGAACACGATATATTTTCTACCGCAAGCAAGACGATTTCCCCGATGGACACATCGGAAATCGTCCGAAGTGTATTACTCACAGAAAGAAATACGCGAGAAAAAAGAACAGCTTCAAGAATTAGCTCGAGAGACTAAATAAAAAACTTGTGCGTCGGAAGGACAAAGCTTTGGGATATGAAATATTGTCTCAGAATTCTTTGTGATAGACAAAGAATGAACAACCAGATTTGGTGGATTTAAAGCCCTATCATGTAAAACATCTTGAGAGTATAAAAGGGAAGAGAAAAACCTCGCAATATACAATATTATTGTAGAATTCATAGCGGTAGATCAAAATTTAGCAACTAAATTTCTCAGATTCGACAATTCAGAAGTATTGTCGTATAAAATATCTTTATTACACTGCAAAATATGCATCTTATAGGTCTAAGAAGTTATAAAAACTAAGGGGTATGTACTTCGGTTGCTATATTTTTTATTACGATATTTCGAATGACGACAGTTTGAAACTGCGAAATTGTGTTGTGTTTTCATCTCCAAGCATACTCTGTAGCCTATATTTTAAAACAGCCAAGTTTTGCTTCCCTTCTTCCCCTCCGGTCGTGTTTTCTATTTTCCGATGTTTTTTTATTCAATGTACTGATATTTTTTTCCTTATTTCCAGTTTTTCTTTCTTTGATCATACTTTTGAGATATTTTATGTACAATTTCTTTAGAGTTTCTAAGATAACTTATTTTGAAATAACAGAAAACATTTTAAATTGAAATAGTTACCTACCAGGACTCGGTTATTATTACATCTGCCTATATTTAATTCAGAGATGCAAAGCGAGACATTCAAATCAGTAAATATTAGTAGAAGTACTTTATTTTAGCAGTAGATTAAAATACATTTTTAAAGACTAATACACAGGAAAAAAATGCATAAAATACCTTAACAACTGACTTCACGAAACCAGCAAAAAATAAAGAGAGAAAGAATAAACTTCGTATTAAAAGAAAACATCCTGTTTTAGGTAAGACAGTTGATGCTGTATAATTGGTATCAGTTTTAATACCAATCATCAAAATTCCTAATCGTTGGAAGTTAATACTAAAAGAACACGGTATATTTTTTAAAATATACAGTCTACGAACTAAACAGGAACCTTATCAATTTATGCGACTACATAACAAACTAGAATAAACTTCGTTTACGCAAAAAATTAGAAAAAAATTACATGAGCATTCAGATTGAGAATACATAATTCGAAATTATTACGGCAAACATTTTTGCATTATAGCTGCATTTTTTCTTTACCAAAACAAATTATTTTTCCTGAATTTTTGCTTGCATGTAAAGATGAAATGTTATCATTTCTATGCGCTCTTAAATAATATTAAGGTAATTGTAAACACAGGTCCTTTGAAATATTTTGAAACTGCTACGAAAAAAGACTGCAGATTAGCTATGAAAAAAAAACGAATATACGCAGAAAGTGTTGTATTATCCTACAGAAAGATTCCTCTCTCTTAATACTCTTTGAAATAATTTCCTTTTATGTTTCGTTGAAACAAAAAACTTTGTTTCAGGGGCATTACCCTGATTATTTTATTTTAGCAGGCACCAAAATCTGTTTTTCTGCGGTAATTGCTTTAGTGTGGAAATGAAAATGTCTTAAATAGCTACATTTAAATGAATGAACAGATATTTCTTTACTACGGAAGAATTCAGAATTGAATTGAATAAGCTTTGCTCTATTTGGAATTTGATAAAAAATGAAAAACTCACCTGACAGCAAGAATGTCGTCAACTCCGTCAAATTCTTCGAAGTCCGGTAATACCTTCAAAGGAACCTCTGGAGTATCACTGGACTCACTGGTTCCTGCATCTTTTTCTCCGTGACAGCAACAAGGCCCTTCTTGGTTGCATACGCAGACACATTCCTCAGCTCTGGGATAGATAAAAATTCCACATTGTTTTACACAAGTTATTTCCATATGATTTTTTTAATATTTTGTATTTTAAGTTCTACTGACCAATTTAGTTTTTAATCATCAACCATTTCAATTGTATGTATTTTTAAGGCACATGACTTGGAAGAAAGTTCAGCGTCGTTAAGCTGGTAGTGGTTAGTTAGCAATCGTAGATGAGTTATTTTTATATCTCCCATCTCAACACTCTTTTAACTTTCTTTCTTAGCTGTTGTATTATTTTCAAATTTTACGCGTAAACAGATCCACATAAAAATTTGTCTTAGCAACTGTGATCTGATTTTACGACAAGTTTACGAAATCTGACAAGACTTTCAGAGTGCAGAACTTGTAAATATTTCAATTTCCGCCTAACTACTGTTAAACTCATGCTTCAGTTAACATTGACTAACTAGCAGCGGAAGAACGCATTTGTAATTTCCTTTAGGTTTATGAGAAGAACATTATTACAACTAGCCTGAATAAGTAATTTTATTATTGCAACTATTCTGAATAAATAAAAACGTTCCAGAGATAGAAGTTAGAGCTAAAACACGAGTTTCTGATCTAATGTTTACGTATATATCACATTTCGTATTATTAAAATGCATTTTTAAACATCTTTTATACATACTTATTTCTTCATTATTAAAAACATTAACATTTTCGTACCCAAGTTACTAAATTAAAATGCATCATTTTTAGAATCTTCTTTCCTACGTACTTAATTCATACTCTACTAACAATAATTCGGATTGTAACAGCATAAAAAGAGTTTTATTTTACTGATAAAATATTGTTATTTACATAATTTAACAGTACAAAAGTAATTTATGCTTCATTTAAAAACGGTCTTGTAATCCTGAATTAAATTATATTTTGAAAGTCAAAGAAACAATACATTAAAGCGATACTATTATTCAAATCGTTCTATCACAGTAATTATTCATATTTCATAACTGCCACTGTAACTTTTGCATCAAAATTAAATTAGTTTCGAAGCTTGTTAAGAAATATTTTAACTGCTTAGTACGCATAAAAGATTGGTACTTGCTTTAAATATCTTTTCAGCTTGTAAGAAGTTATAGATTTTCAGTAGATGGAGAGGCTAATAGTTTTAAAGAAATTTTGTAAAATTGTCGAGAATAAAATTTAATTACCGGCCATTAGTTCATTTCTAATCTTCGCCACTGATTTCAAGCATTTATTCACTTTACATGTTAAATTACGTAAAAGTAAAACTGTAAATACTGAAGTTGATTTTCCATTAAAACTTATTTAAAATAAATCCTTCACTTTACATTATTTATAAAATATATAATATAAATTTTCAGACTAGAAAATCACCTGAAAGTTCCACCTTTATTAGAAAATCTTCGATAATTCCTAATGCAAAACTAAAAGGAAATTAAATTTTTTGTAAAGTAAATTTCACTGTCATATTAGTTGTATGTGTGTGTGTGTGATTATGGCAAAGCCTCGAGGGCTATCTGCCTAAGGGGAGGGATGCCTTCGTGGAGGACTTTCTAAGGGGCACTGGCTCGTATATACGTTACACATGGGGAAAACCACGAAAACGCCTTGCAGCCAGCCCGTTCGCGGGATTCGAACCTCGGACCGAACTACCAGTGTTCAGCGTCTTTACCGCTCGGCCGCTGGTGGGCCATATTAGTTGTAAGGTCAGAAATGTCCAGATTTCCTTAAATAAAATCCCATCCCACCTTGTAGTATAAGAAATCAGAAAATTAAAACTACACTTTTCCGTACTTCCGTAGTCATGGATATAATAGATAATATAGCAATGTAAAACGTATAAGGATTACTTGTTTTAGAGCTGTGATGCCTGAGTGAAAAAATTAAGAAAATGCATATATTTCTCTCAGGTACATTTGGAACGAACAAAAAAAAAATATCACAGGAACCGAGAGCGTGTGACTTACACTGGAACATGTTCAGTTCCACAGTGAATAGAACCGGAAAAAAACTGCTGCATAACCTGGTCAACCTGTTATTTGACAAACTCTCGGCCATTAAAGGTACAAATGGTATTAAATCACAATTCATTTCTAGATGAGGCATCTCACTGATTTGTCTCTTAGCTCAAACAATACATATAAAATCAAAATAAGAAACTTGAAATGTTTAACAAAATTCACCCTCAGATATTATCATCTCTACATATAATAAAACAAAAAGTCTGTCTGTGTGTGCGTGTGTGTATCTCTCGTTCGCGCTGCGCGTAAGCTAATAGACCCACGGCTACGAAGTTTGGTACATAGGTGCATCTAGACAAGAGCCAGTGCACCTCGAAGCGATTTTTTCGAAATTCGAATTCGAATTTTTTTATTTTATGTTTTGTGACGAAATTGCGTCATTTTGAGACATAATGGGCTATAGGAAAGCGAGATTTTACTCTACACACTCCATTTTCACATCGTCATGAAACGTAGGCACTTAGCTATTTTACGAACTTAAAATAAATTTCATGTTTTAATAAATCGATTAAATGCGAATTTATTTAACAAAGGGAGCTTTACATCTTTTCAACGGGATTTTTTCTAAAAAAGTTTTTTTTTCTTTGATTTTTGGACACGTTAAACTTTCATCCTTGCGACTGCTTTTACAAAAAGAATTTTGGAAAAATGATAATATTTTGTATTTTTAAAAACTTTTTTAAATGAAGCTTTGGAGTACACTTCTCACATCTCACATCTTTAAAAATGTGATTTGGGCAACCATTTTCTTATCTTATTGTTGTTGATAGAATTTTTGATGAAATCGCATCATTTTTAATAGTTCATTCTTTTAGAAATATGGGTTTGGCAACAATTTTTCATCGTATTTCTTATGTCACTGTTTTTAAGAGATTGGCATATTTCATTGTTATTTATATATATATATAATAAATTTTTGTTGATTTCTTTTGATAAAGTTGTTCTGCAGAGTAAAATTCTGCGCGGAATTTTATGTTTTTTAAGTTTCTTTCATGTTATTTTTTGCTTATTTCACTGTTTGTGAGATATTGAAAAGTTTTACATGATTTTTTTTCTTCAACGTAAATTTCTTTTTTAATTAGGATAATTAATATTTGTATTAAGGGATATAGCTTATTTCATTGTAATTTTTTTCTCTCGAAAATATAAGATAAAATATCATTAATTATAATTTGCTTTTCAGAATTTTTTGTTTTATGTATTCTTTTATGTTATTTATTGCTCATTTCACTGTTTTTAAGATATTAAAAAGTTTTGAGTGATTTTTTTAGTAAACAAAGTTCTTAACCTCCTTTATACCATTTGAGTTAAGATTTTGCAAAGGAAAGTTGGTTAATTTATTTATTAGGATAATTGATATTTGTATTAAGGGATATTGCTTATTTCATTGTAATTTTGTTATACGTAATAACTTTTTTTATGAAGTTGTTCTGCAGAGTAAAATTCTACGCAGTTTTTAAATTTAACGTTTGGTATTCCCTTTAGCCATTTTTCTGGTACATTTACAAGCCAGACAAAGGCTGGCAGCGAAGCTGCTAGTTACAAATAAAATTTTATATTAACTTGAATTTGAAATCAATGCAAGTCTATGATAGAATTTTGTTTAATCCTAAAATAATAAATAATTAACTTCTGATCAAATATCAACATATTTAGATAATACTGTCAAAGATATCGTCTGCAAATCCATGATATTATAACTGATGGAAGTGTTGTTTACTAAACCTTTATGCGTGAGTTCATTTAACCATAAAAGTAGTTTAGTTCACAAAGCTGAGAATATCTACACTGTGTAGTTAAAGCGTCTCAATCATCGGTCATAGACATTCTAACTCGCCTTCGATCAGTAAATAAGATTAAAGAAGGATTTGGAGAGATTTGTGTGCAAAACGTTTAGACAGAAACGCCAATAATCATTATCTGGGAAAAACAAGATTTTTGTCTTTAAAAAAAAATACAACTGCGCACATTGATCTTGCTGTCGCATTGGATTACTAATGTTTAAAAAGAAAAAGTATTTTTTGGGCTCAAAATTTGAAAATCCTGAGAAATAAATCTGGTAGAATTGAATATTTTTTCATATTTGAATAATGGATTATTTTATATTTTGGAAACTACTCTCTATTTATAACATAATTCATTTTATAATACTCAAGAAGGAGAGGATTTAAATAACTGTGCACTTTAATACAGCTTCTAAAAAGGTTGCATAATTCATAGAACAAAGGCATGACCTCAGTATCACTTTGCATTTTTATCAGAAGTTTATTATTTATTTTAATGTCTTTTTAAATAACATCTGAACTAGCCAGAAAATAAATGTAATATTCAAGAATAATTCAGCCAATTTTCTGTTATTTCTTTCGTATGCTGATTTGCTTGTTTAGTCATACACAACAGTATACCTTAGGGCTATCTGCCTGAAAGAAGCTTTGCCTCCTTTAAATAATTTCAAAAGAAAACTTTTCTTTCCCGTTATATATGGCAGAACTACGAAAATGGACAATAAGCCAGTCCGCAGGCATACGGTACTGGATCAAACTACTGTTCAGCGATGGTATCAGTATTTAGCGTTCTTATCATTCAATAATAAAACACTTTAACTGACGATCACTATAAGACTGTTAAAAACATCAACATTTATCTATCCCAATTATGAAATTAAAATGCAGAAAGAAATTATCAGAAACCATAAATGTGTAAGTTATAAAAAAGACAGGAATGACAGCTATTCCAAGCTGATACGAAAACAATTTTATTATATCTTAGTTATCTTTGGAATTCAAAAATGAATTTTAAATCAATTAGCTCTGGCTTTCAACATGTTTTCTGTCCATGCTTTCACGTGAAAAGTAGTGTAATGATCAGCTTATTTATTCAAAATAAAGTATCTCTGAGGTGACTTAAATTTCATCATGAATATTTCCTTAGAAAGACATTCCAGGAAGGCATCCTTCATCTTAAGCAGATAGCCCTTGCGTACTTT